AGACTGTGCCATTTTTTTGTAGAACGTGATGTTGATAAACACGCATATGATGAGATGCAGAAGTTAGACAGACGTCTCGTGGACGCAGGCGAGAAGCAGAGGCTGCGCAGACTCACTTCACCATTGACCACTATTTTATCCTCTGGCGATTTGGCCAAATATATCAAACACGACGTTATTCTAGTTTCTGCACGTGGGGAAAAAGTCACAAAAATGTTATATAGTCACCAGATAAACTTACAAATCGAGGACATCCCATGTTTGACGAGAATGACAAAAAAGACTTCGCCATTTTTTTGTACACGTGATGTTGAGAAACACACAGATGACGAGACATAAATGTTAGACAGGGGTCTCGCGGACTGATGGCGAACATATATTCCTCCCGCAGGTGAGAAGCAGAGGCTGCACAGACTCAGTTCACATTTGACTACTATTATGATATCCTGTTATAATTTGGACAGTTGAACTCATTCACGACGTGCCGTAGTTTCTCTCTCTCGGGTAAATACCGCAAAATGTTATATTGTCACCAGATAAACTCGGGTTGTGGGGACAAGAAGACGAATGGCATCCGATGTTTGACGAGACGCAGACGTTAGACAGGCGTCTCGCGAATGCAGGTGAGAAGCAGAGGCTGCGCATACTCACTTCACCTTTGACTACTATTATGATATCCTGTCATGATTTGGCCAGATGAACTCATTCACGATGTGCCGTAGTTTCTCTCTCTTGGGTAAATACCGCAAAAATGTTATATTGTCACCAGATAAACTCGGTTGTGGGACAAAAAGACGAGGGCATCCCATGTTTGATGAGACGCAGACGTTAGACAAGCGTCTCACGAACGCATGTGAGAAGCAGAGGTTGCGGAGGCTCACTTCACCTTTGAATACTATTTTATCATGTGACGATTTGGCCAGTTGAACTCAATCTAGACAAAAAAAAATTTCTTCTAACAATTTGGAGAAGACCTAAAAGACGAGGTATCGTAGTTTCATTATCACTAGATAAACTTGGTTTGTACATGTCCGTTTAGCATAACCGATTGATGAGGACATCCCATATTTGAAAATGAGGTGGCAACACTTGTAAATATATGGAAAGCGTGCCATTTGGTTAGCGATTTTAATATAAACATATTGGATAATTGATAATAAATGGTAATTTTGTTATTATTTTGAAAAGAATTAGTTAAACGGTATTTTCTGCATAAATTAGACTTCTTCTCACAATATTCTCCAAAAGAATACTCTATTGAAATTAAAATTTCAGAATAGACTATTTCAAAAAATCATATAATATATAAAAGTTGATGGCATAGTGCATTGAGGGCGTCCACATAGGATTAAAAAACTCGATCTGATTAGTCCACATTAGTATATTCATTAAATAAAAATATGTTAAGTGTGATTAGGACGGAAAAACTTGATTTAATTGGTTCACATCAGTTTTTTAATCAAACAAAAATTATTAAGAATAATTAAAACATTAAAAATTAACTTAACAAATTATGTCCAACAAAAAAGTAAATTCAATCTGATTGTTCCAAATCAACATAAATATTAAATCAGAAAATGTTAATATGGTTTAAATTTTTAAAAGTTAAATAAAAAAATTAACAGTTACCAATACATGTTTTAAAAAAAATAACCATTATCAATTTAAAAAATCTACAACAACTCTATTTAACAACTAAAATAATGAAAACTGAATAAAAATACAACATAAAATTCTTGGTAGGCATGATGGAGAAGGAAAAAATAGTTTTGCATGATCATTACAGCTTCCTAACAAAATTAAATGCGAATCAACATGAATTATAGATTATATATGTAGTGGTACACAACATCAATAAGACTTTCAATAAAAAACTAAATATTTGAACACTTAAATCTTCAAGAAAAAAAAACTATTGAAATTCTATGGAAAACAGAAAATAATACCAAAATCTTAGAAAGGTTATATTTCTCTAAATGAAATGTATATGTACGTCAAAGTTGGATAATTCGATAGATGTCATTGTTATTATTTTATTTAATAGTTTTTTAAAATTTATAAATAAAATAAGATAAATTACACATTATATATTAAATTCTCTTATATAAAAGAAATTTTCTATAAATATATTATATTTTTAATAATTTTAAAGATAGTAGCTAAAAAAATTAAACCAAATATTAGCACGATTTATATACATAGTATAATATATAAAAGTTGATGGTATAATGAATTGAAGACGTCCACATAAGACGAAGAAATTCAATATGATTGGTCCACATCATCGTTTTTCATTAAACACAAAAATGTTAAATATGATTAGTAATTTAAATAAATTAAAATATACAAAAATAGAAAATTTGCGTAGGATAATGAAAAATTAAGATAAAAAAATATAACTAATAAAAGAGATAAAAAAAATAAATCAAATCTATAGCGTTTGTCAATATAAAATAGAAACTTAATATCAGAAAAGCTAAACTAAAAAAAAAAAAAATATGTAAATCAATAGCTAAAAATTAAATTAAAAAAAAAGAAAAACTTAACATATATAATAAATAATTTTATTTAAATATAGCATTAAACCAACTATTTAAGAAATCAATATAAAATGCGAATAAAATAAATAAAATGTACATACAATTAAAATCGAAATTAATATCAGAAAATTTAAATAATTTTTAAAAATCATCTAAAAAATCGACTTGGTCTCATTAACAGCAAAAATGAGAAAATTATGTCGGTAAAAATGTCAATATTTACCAAAACATTATGTATCAAAATAAAATAGTATTCAATGGTTTTAATAATTTCAAAATAAAATATATTTATATGTATATTTTAGTAATTAAGTAATCCACAGTTAAATAAATTAAAACATACAAAAACAGAAAATTTGTATAGTATAATGAAAAATTACAATAAAAAAGTTTAACTAATAAAAGAGATAAAAAAAATTAAATCCAAATTTCTAGCGTTTGTCAAAATAAAATAGAAACTTAATATCACAAAAGCTAAACTAACAAAAAAATAAATATATAAATCAATGACAAAAAGTTAAATTAACAAAAAGAAAAATTCAATATATATAATAAGTAATTTTAACTAACTATTTAAGAAATCAATATAAAATATGAACACAATAAATAAAATGTACATACAATTAAAACCGAAATTAAAATCAGAAAATTTAAATAATTTTAAAAAATCATCTTAAAAAATTGACTTGGTGTCATTAACAGAAAAAAATGAGAAAATTAGGTCTGTAAAAATGTCAATATTTACAAAAAACTATGTATCAAAATAAATTAGTAATCAATAATTTTAATAATTTTAAAATAAAATATATTTCTATGTATATTTTAGTAATTAAGTAATCCACGTTTCTACCGAATGACCTGTGGTCCGACCAATGACCCAGTGATCCAAACGATTTTCCGAATTGATATCCGGGTCGGGTTTATAAACATTATGAATAACTATGTAAAGTTGCAATAGGTATCAATTTAAGTATAAGTTTCTAAATCAAACATATTATTTAAATATACAAAGATTAATACATTGGGTGCTTCTAATTTAAAATATAACAAAGAAAAATACTACATAAGTAATTTTACATTAAAAATTTAACAAGCAGTAAAATTTGATTTTTATATATAATGCTTATATCTGAACCAACATTAATAACACATGAGTAACACCTTCTAAAATTCTATTTAAATTATAAAGTATGACAGTTATGAATCAAACCCAATTGATATATCTAGATAATATATTTAAATCAAAATATGCAAAATGCACACAAAAAATAAAAAAGTGAAAAATAATCTGAAGACTCTACGCCACTAATCCTACAAGTTTAAAAACTAACATTATCAAATATTAGACTGTAAAAAAAAAAAAAAAAAATCTCAATGATAAACTGAATAAAGATATGTGGAAGACCTCATAGAGAAGCATGAAACGGTTTTATATGATCATTGCAATTTTCTAACAAAAATAAATGTGAATCAACATAAATCATGAATTATACATGCATAGGTATACAACTTTAAGGAGATATTCAATCAAATAATTAAATATTTTAAAATATAAACCTTAAACAAAAAAGAAATGTAGAAATCCTATGGAAAGCAAAACAAAAAAAATCACTAAGATCTTAGCAAGGAATCTTTTCTCTAAATCAAACATGTGTGCATCGAAGTTGGGTAATTTGAATTTAGTTTAATAAGATTTTTTATTATTTTACTTATTAAGATTTAAATTTTTATATAAAAATAGAGAAAGCTACACAGTGTATATTAAATTCTTTTTATATAAAAAGAAATTTATATATATATATATATATATCTATTATAGTTTTGATAATTATAAAAATAGTAACTAAAAAAAGTTAAACAAAATTATTAATATATACTCGTGCATAGCGCGAATTAAAAATCTAGTATCTATTAAAACATTTAACGAAATATATGAATTAGGGCCTAATGTTTTCAAATTTTGCTTATATAATATTAACAATTACAAAATTTGAACGGACTACGAATAGTTTGAGACGGTCTGCTTACAATAGTCGTCTTGCCCTTTTTCGGTTTCTTTACCGTTTCCAATTTCATATATTGTAAGCAATTTACACTGTTGTATAAAAAAAAACATTATCTACTCAACTGGTACAAAAAAAATAAAAGAAAAGAAGCTTCGGTAAATCCCCAAATGCCTTGGTCGCCACATAATATCAGACAAAGGAATGAAGGATCTTCTTCTATTTAAATTTCGGTTTCATAACCTATCAAGAGATATCGTTTTCTGTTTTTTACTCTGCTCGGAAAGTGCTGAAAAATTAAGAAAGCTCGTAAGTTTTACATATCTCGTAATCTATCAACCTAAGCATATGTTGCAAGAATGAGAGGAAGTTTTCCCAAATTTTTGGCTTTCAAGAGTAAATGATGATCCATGTTTTTTTTTTTTTTTTTCATTTGTAGAACATAAGTGAGAGGTCCATGGCGTCAGGGTCAGAGCCAACAAAAAACATAGTTCTGGTGGGGCGTGCCGGCAACGGGAAAAGCGCCACCGGGAACTCACTCGTTAGGAGAAAAATATTCTTATCAGGTGCCCAAGCAACAGGTGTAACTATGACGTGTCAGACATTTAGAGCTGTCATACCCAATGGCCCCATAATTAATGTGATTGACACTCCTGGTATGTTTTTGTTCCCTTGAAACCTTAAATCAAACCTCATGATTAGTATTATTTTAGCAGAGTTATAATATTCAGGGTTTGCTCTCCGGTTGTGACACAGGTCTTTTCGATTTGATAACGAAACCCGACATCATTAGTAAGGAAATCGTTAGATGCCTTGCTCTGGCGGAAGAAGGATTACATGCTGTGGTTCTGGTTCTATCTGTAAGAACTCGGATTACCAAAGAGGAAGAGGACTCACTTTGTACGTTGCAGGTCATCTTCGGGGCTAGAATCCTTGACTATTTGATTGTTGTATTCACTGGCGGTGATGAGTTGGATAGCAACAACCAGACGTTAGAAACGTATTTGCAGGAGTGCCCTGAGTTTCTGAAGGTCGGTGATTTATTCCATAATGTATTACAAAAATTGGATTACTCGCAACGGATGTAAATGCTCATTAATTTATGTACTTTTGAATATGATTGTGCGGTTTCAGAATATTTTCAGACTGTGTGGCCACAGAAAGGTTTTGTTTGACAACAGAACTGACGATGATGAGAAGAGGGATAGGCAAATCCAGCAGCTTCTCAACTATGTTGAAGATATTGGAAGGAGAAATCGTGGGATACTGATGCAGCGCATCTTCGTATTTTTACATGTTTTTATTTGGGCTTTTGCGTTTAGGCTTTAAGTGTCGAACACACCTTTGTGTTCAACAAATCGTGTGGTTTTTGCGTCTTTTCCTTTTCTGTCTTAGGGTTTTAGCGATTCTTCTTCTACTTTAAATAGAGTCTTCGTTGAATCTTTGTCATTCAGTCTTTGTTTTGATAAATCAATAAAAACCAAAAAGAGGAAACTCAAGTTTCCCAAAGAGCTTTCTTATGCAAAGCCCTGAGAGGAGGACTCTCAAACCCTAGTCGTAATCGAAATCTCTTCGATAACGTCTAAACCCAAGTTCGTCTGCGAGTTTTCTTGGAATTCTCGTGATCTTACTTGTTATCGTAGCTTCCGCTCTCTATCAGTTGGTATCAGAATCAGTTCGTTCATGCAAGTGTCGTCGTTTACAGGTTATAACGATGATGCCAAAGAAGGATGGAAACTATCAACGATGTCTTCTTGAAGCTCAAGCAAGAGACTGGGATGAGCTTCGTCACACACTTCGTGTGATGGGAGCAAACTTTCGAGCAACTATTTACAATTCGATGCATCAATCGGCAGAGACGGCGACATTCAATTACCATCCAGCGCTGGTCCAAGTTTCAGAAGTAGAGTTGGAGGTAGTGGTTGATAATCCTTTAATGCGCGATCGAGATTTTCATCAACAGATCCGCGATGAGCCATCAAGTCGTGATCAAAGTGATAGTTTGTCTCTTCTCGGTTTAGAGGATCCATATACGGAGATCTACGGTGAACCGATTTTTGACAACTATAATGATGCCCCAATCTGTGATGTTGTCATTGACAAATCATGTGCGATGAAGCGTGTTTACTGTAACGATCCAATCTTCGACATCTGCAATGATGAAGATCAAAGCTATGACATATATCATGTAGACGATGTAGATCTCAATGATGGTGAATGGATGGACAGCATACAACTACCACTAATGTGGCGAGTTAAATGAAGATTCATATATGGATATGCGAGATCACTGTAGTGGTGGTGGTGATAGAAATCATCGTCTGCGGGGAAATAGTGAGCCACCAGATCGAGGTCGATGTTTGTTTCTTCAAGGAGAAAGCACGATATATACTACATTGGATATCTACGATGAGGATAACGACAAGCTAGACCGCAATAAGCACAATATTTTGCTTTGTCACGGTAACACCGATGATACACAGATCAATGGTGAGCCAGTGTTTGATATATGTTTTGATGACGATACTATTTATGTTCCATATACTGGAAGCAAGCTCTGGTTAACGGAAGTGATGTCGAACACAAGACATCGCATAACTTTTTGTCAAGGCCGAATATCAAACAAAGTGTTTGTTATCTATATTGCTGATGATACAAGCCATGTTTCAAACGACGGACATGACCGCGGGTTCAACTTATGAATGTAAGATACCAAGTATTTCATCGTCAATATGAATTACCGAGTGAGAGTTTCCAAATGAGCTGCAAACCAATTCAAAAGATGGAAGGCATCCATGTATACAGTTCAAAGGAGTTTTTGAATTGGGCTTGTGGAGGAGAAGACAACACAAAAATAATTTTCTCATTTCATCCACGTTAGGTTTACAAAGAAGACGTACACACCATCAATCGATTTGATTTTTCCTTTCTTGGTGTAGCTTCTAATACAAGCAACAGGCATTTGGTGGAATTCTTTATGAAAAATAGCATAATGATGATGTTATTATCACGTATGACAACAGAGATGTCTTATCTGCCCACATATTCCGTTAGTCTTTTCCTCAATACAAAGGAAACTTGTGACAGAAGAAATGTATTTCAACTGTTTTCATGGATCCCTTTGGTGTCTCATCGCATGTGTTTCAAAGTGGAGATCGCTACAGCTTGGATACGAGTGATCCTTAATTCGCCCATACATGCATTCCTGCTTCTTCCGTTTGGTACGAGGGTAAAGCTGGGATCATCCTATGACATGTGCATGCCTAGTGTCTCCTTGGCTGGTCTTTTCCCTCATCAACGTCATCTACCTTTGGTCATTGGGTTCTCCTTTAGGGCATGCATAATGGTCGAAGATGGTGGTGTTTATCCATACACACACCACCAACAAGTTAAGGAGTTCACTACACCGTACCAGATTATTAAGCAGCTTCTTCCACATGTGAAATCAAATAGTCGTTGTCCTTGGTTTCCTCTTCACGTTATAAGGCAATGTATGGATACTGTATTCATCTTTGGAGTTTTTCCGGATATGGCAAAGTTAGACCAGCAACAACCATTTGATCTCTCATTTTGTGAAAGTCTTTTTTTTGTGCGAAGAAAGCATAAGACCACGTCAACAAGGATTCTTTCATGAGCATGATGTTGTCTTACATGGGGATTTCAATGGACATTTTCAACAGGCAGCTGGTAAGACCAAAATACTACTCGTTGTCTCTACTGTTCGCAGCTTCTAGTGTATCATTCTAGGTTTGTCTTTGCTTGGGAGTTAGCTAGTAAAGAGACTCCTACGTATTTGCGGCCACTGTGGGCACATAAAATCATTTTTTCGCTGCCTTCCGTGTTCATAAGGATACAATTGGTGTCACGTCATGTTATTCTATTACAAAGTGCGATGTTATTGAGCGGCTCTAAGGAAGGAAAGACATTTAAGAGAGGACCTTTGTGGGAGGATTCTCTGTTGAATATATATGAGAACGACATTGAGGAACTGTTTGATAGCAGCCAGGAAGATCATATTTTGGTTATGCGTTTTTGTCTCACACCATTGCATCAAAGGGAATCTTGGATTATGGTAAAAAATTTCAGAATTCTCTTGCTTCCTCCGTCTGATCTTCAGGTTTTCATAGGTGCTTACACCATAATCCTTGTTGTTGATAACACGTTCGAGGCTCTGATCTCATACTGCTGTTATATATTTACTATGTTCTACCATAAAAATCTTTGTCTATCAAGATGTAAGTGCACGTTTGGTGCCTGGAGGTTCCTGTTCTTGCATTTTATGGTCACACTGGGGGACTTTTCAGCAAATGTGGTTGACTTGGACTTGGAGTTAACGTCAAGTCGTGTGGGTTTGGTGATTTTTCATCATGCTCTTTTACCCATGGTGATATTCTCTTTCTGGACCATATCGTTTCTAAGTCGGTTGCTTTATGGAGCTGTTAAGAGGGGACGCAGAGCTGTTTGTAACCCACATTTGGATTTCACATACCCATCCGCGATATTTTTTTGTTGGTATAACATTGCTTGTGAATCAAGTAGGCTGTCGTGTGTCGATTCAGCGCCAACTAGGGTGTCACAACCTAACGGTGGCAATGCGTCTTTACCATCAGTTTCTGAGATTTTAGAACCTGTTTTTCAAAGCGTGTCTTTCCCAGCGTATTTCCAATCTCAGCGAAGCGGACAAACGGAGATGCCAAAATGCGCTTTCGAGAATATGTTTCGTTTTCTGGTGAGTGGTAATTTCATGAGTTGTGATGCAACATTGCCCCAGGAAGCGTTTGATTATCTCCATGCGTCTCAATGGTGTTTAGTTTTGAATCTGCGTCAAGTCATTGATGGCCAAGTTGTTGTCTGCTCTACGGAATTGTCTACTATGATGACTCGGACTAGTTTCCATGGTCAAGTTGTGGTCTTTGTGGAAAATTTAGAGGCGTTTATCGTCCAGATCAAGGCCATCACAGATGTTCGACAACATGAGGTTTGGTTTGAGCCTGGAATTCCGGTGAAGTTCAACGTAACAAGGGATTGTATGCGTCCTCAGTTACAAACGTTCATTGTTTCCACATTTGTAGACAGCTCAATGACATCTCTTACGAATGTACAAGCTAAAGTCGCGAACGGTCGCTGGAAGTACTGGAGCGTATCAATTCAAATGTCGATCTTGCTGAACTACATACAGATTCGCACACATACAAGGACGAGCACTTGTATCCTTTTGCTGACGACAATGACACACCGGATTCGTGGGCCCACCAGGGAAGACCTGATGCAGCGCATCTTCGTATTTTTATATTTGGGCTTTTGCGTTTAGGCTTTAAGTGTCGAACACACCTTTGTGTTCAACAAATCATGTGGTTTTTGCGTCTTTTCCTTTTCTGTCTTAGGGTTTTAGCGATTCTTCTTCTACTTTAAATAGAGTCTTCGTTGAATCTTTGTCATTCAGTCTTTGTTTTGATAAATCAATAAAAACCAAAAAGAGGAAACTCAAGTTTCCCAAAGAGCTTTCTTGTGCAAAGCCCTGAGAGGAGGACTCTCAAACCCTAGCCGTAATCGAAATCTCTTCGATAACGTCTAAACCCAAGTTCGTCTGCGAGTTTTCTTGGAATTCTCGTGATCTTACTTGTTATCGTAGCTTCCGCTCTCTATCAGATACCATTTACGGAAGAGATGCACCGTCAGATAAAGGTGAGACTGTTGCCTGTTGGTTGAAACGCCTCCCAACTGCATCTATCTATGACTCTATAGGTTATGTGTTAATTCTGAAACTGCGGTTCCTCAGGAAGAGACCAAAAGGCATAGGGGAAAGGAAGAAGAAGCCAAAGCAAAGTATTTAGCAAATGATTTAGCAAGGGAGAAGATGAAGTTGAAGGAGGAGTATGATCGTAATATCCGCGAAATGGAACAGAAAGTAACTATTTATTATGCCAATATTTAATAGAATAATTTATTTTCGTCAGCTTTAAACATAGGTGATAACTCTTGATTAGGCCCGCTCCTTTAAAAAAAAAATGATTTTAACGTGTCAAGAAGCTTTAATCAGCACTAGCAAGTAGCAATGTCACATGTATATGTTGGGATCACTTAAGAAATTATTTATATTTAGAGGCTTGAGATTCTCCTGCCAGATTAAAGTTCGTCATTAATAATGTGTTTCTGTTCTATTTCAGATGACAGACATAATAAAAAATGCTTGGAATGTACAACAGAAAATGCTGAGTGTGATGGAAAGAATGGGAGAAAGGAAAGTATGCAATATCATGTAATCGGTTTACCCAATCAAGCCAAAACTGTGCCCAAACACAGTCAAAGTCTGGTTTTGCAATTCGCATGTTTTTCATTTCATTTTATGTGTGCTTTGTTTATGTTTACGTTTGCATTTTATGTGCCCACACAGGTGTTGTGGCCAAGCACTTTGTACAATCTTTACAAGATATGATCTTTGGTTGAATTATAGATACTGTATAAATTAATTGTTGTGAATATCGTTTATCTTTGGGCTTACATTATAGATAGTCAATTTTGGTAAAACACACAAATTGGCAAAACCGTAATTAAGTGTTTCTGGGTGATTTTAAACTATGTATTAACTGCATGTCATGTAAAGTAAAATCAATTGTATCTGGAATAGTGTGTTAAAAATAAATATAACATAGATGCATTTTTTCTATCGGTCTAGGATTGTCGGAAGTTTTCTTTTGGAATTAGGATTTGAGTGTGGTCTTAGTTTGTGAAAGTTGGTTCTTCTGCTTTCATTCTTCGGATCTTTCGGTTACGGTTAGGTTTAGTTCTCTAAGTTCGAACGTAATTGACTTGGAGGTTATCTATTAACCTTTCTCTGAGGTCTTTTTGGGGTTTGGAGATTTTTTTTTCGAACATATCTCTACTTACACAAATGCTTCTGAGATATGGACAAAAGTTGAAACAAAGCTCCCCTTGTTCGATGGTTGGTAAAGTTAGAGTGGTCAGCATGATGGAGCACTTAAATTTTTTCAAAGGGATCATAAATCAGCTAAATAAAGTTGACATTAAAGCCAAAGACGAGATGCAAACCCTTCTACTCCTTGGTTCGTTGTTTGAAAGTTGGGACACACTAATTGCCAGTTGTCACTCTCAGTAATTTGGCACCAAAGGAAAAATTTTACAGTGGATATTGTAAGGGATACTGTAAGTGAAGAAAGAACGAGGTTGAAGCACTGAGTTGAAGATGAACGC